AAGTGAGGCACATAGTACAGTAGACCCCCGGTTAACGATATTTTTTCATTCCAGAAGTACGTTCAGGTGCCAGTACTGACCGAATTTGTTCCCATAAGGAATACTGTTTAGTAGATTAGTCCATTTCAGATCCCCAAACATACACGCACAAACGCACTTACATGAATACACTTACATAATTGGTTGCATTGGGAGGTGATCGTTAAGCGGGGGTCCACTGTATAATGGTAGTGAGTTTGTGTCAACTATCCTTGATATTGTTTTAATGTAGCATGGATCTACTTTGCATGGGTCAGTAGGCCTGTTGCAGTGTTCCTTCCTTCTTATGTTCACTTTTGAACCATTTATAACATTTTTGGTATAGTATTTTTAAATGTTTATACAGTAGTGTACTGTATGTTGAAATCAACAGAATAGAGGAAATCAGCTATAATATACATTATTTAGGTATGAATACTGGTCAGAGAACCCGTCATAAGTCTGAGGCATCGGTAAACGAGTACATCACTAAGTGAGGAGAGGCTGCATTTGCCTTACTTCTCATTGCAGAATGTCTCATGTCATTATGACAGCTAAATCATAGCATAGCTTATACTTTTTAACTTTCTCTTATTATGGGTTTTGAATCAGAAAGATTATACGAATGTTTATGTTGTACACAAATTGTTCCTATTAGACCAATACATAATTTTGACTAACTCTATGGCAACCTCCAACTTCACAAAGATTCTGTACAAAGCCGACAATTAAATACATGGAGGGTCTGTTTTACAGTGTTTCACTAATGCAATGGCTTTCAATTACAGTGGAACCTCAAATATCGAACTTTCTTCATTCCAGACGGCTGTTCAAGTGCCGTTACCGAATGAATTTACTCCCATCAGGAATAATGTAAATTAGATTAGTTCATTTCAGACCCTCAAAAATACACTTATAAAAGGACTTACAAAAATACACTTACATAAATGGTTGAGTTGGGAGCAGTTCGATATTTGAGGTTCCACTGTATACCCATTATTTATTCCTACAATAAATATATTTACAACTCACCATAAGCCATATTTGAAGGCAGATCATGTATGTATTGTATATGTATTTTTTAGGCTTAATTATATTACTCAGCCTTTTGAGAATCCAGACCCCCAATCTGGAACTTGTCCACGGGACCCAAAAATTTAAAAAAAAAAATTTGTTTTTTCTTTAGGAAATCATAGAGAATCACTTTCTAGAGGTAATAAAACAAAAAAGTATGAAATTTGTTGGAAAATTGACGAAATTACGTTATAGCAAATTTTGCTGCATCGGCGATGTTTATTCATCAGTGATTTTGCCGACGGAGCTTTATTTTAGGCCAGTTACATTACTCCAGTAGACCAAATTCTTAGGTATTTCACTAGTTTGCTTCCATTTTATCAACTGAGCATAAGAAACTGCCCAATCAACTACTTCAACTATCCAATAAAGAGATCAGAAATTGGCAATTTGTCCAATTTCACACAAATTTCAAAATATTCCAATTTAAAAACAGAGTCCAGAATAAACAATGCAAGCATTCCTGGCACTAAAATAACATTTCCTCTGTTCATTAGTTATATTTCCAGGCCTTACACATGCATTCCATTTTGATTTTTTATTCACACAAAGAATTTTTATTCACACTAAAAAATTAGAAGATTTACTGTTATGCAATATTGTAATAAATAAATAAATAATATCAGTGCCTTCATGATCGCATATCAGGCCCACCGGTTGGCGTGTATTGGACGCATGATGTGATTTGTTTACTCTTGAACATTGGTAAAAAATTAACATACCTACTTTGAGCTCAATTTCAAGTTACTTTCAATCCTAAAGCAAATTAAAATCATCATTACTTCTGTAATATATTTTCCATTCTATCAAACAAGATCAAGAAACAGTGAATGCAACCATAAAAAATTATGAAAATACACAACAAAGTCGCTGTTTTAAACCAAAAATACAGATGAAGCTTTTCTATCATTATTCACTGCATGCTGCAGGTTTTTTTTATGGTGTACACTTACCATATAGACCAATTCTTTCATATCTAAGCCCAAATTTACCACTCACAGCTTATCTGAGCGAGCTGAGCTCATGTCGTAGAACAACGGCATGGACCCTGGCTTCAAACCCATAGAACAACGGCATAAACTCTCAAGTGGTTAATATATGACAGTGTTAACATGTCATCAAGATTTTTATATGCATCTTAAAGTGAAAGAAAGCTATGTTTCATTTTACAGTGGAAGCCCAGAACCTAACCTACTGTATAAGAGGAGACCTGTATAGCAACAGCATAGAAACTAACCTACTGTATAAGAGGAACCCTGTATAACAACAGCATAGAATCTAACCTGCTGTATAAGAGGGGTCCTGTACAGCAGCAGCATAGAATCTAACCTGCTGTATAAGAGGGGTCCTGTACAGCAGCAGCATAGAAACTAACCTGCTGTATAAGAGGGGTCCTGTACAGCAACAGCATAGAAACTCTAACCTGCTGTATAAATGGGGCCCTCCTATACAGCAGTAGCCTTGAACCAAACCTGCTGTATAAGCAGAGCCATCCTGTATCAGTCACAACTTCTACTATCTGTCATCTCACTCAAGGGGAAAAACAATGACTGCTTTACAAAAGTTGATGTCTAGTGAAACCCATGAAATAGATGCAACTGGATTAATGTGAGAAATCGCCAGAAGCCCAAGCAAATATACAGCCAGAGACACAGTGTGTGAGGCAAGAACATTGCCAACCAGGCCACGGGATACCCTCCAAGCTTGCTTATAGGTACATGTGCATGTACACATGCATTTACATAGACATGCAAGTATGTACACAGGTGTATGTATGAGGCGAGGTATCAGAGTGGGCGCCTGTGATGAGTGGGGTTCCACAAGGGTTTGCAGATGATGTGAAGTTGATGAGAAGAATTCAATCGGACGAGGACCAGGCAGAACTACAAAGGGATCTGGATAGGCTGCAGACCTGGTCCAGCAATTGGCTCCTGGAGTTCAACCCCACCAAGTGCAAAGTCATGAAGATTGGGGAAGGGCAAAGAAGACCACAGACAGAGTACAGTCTTGGGGGCCAGAGACTACAAACCTCACTCAAGGAAAAAGATCTTGGGGTGAGTATAACACCAGGCACATCTCATGAGGTGCACATCAACCAAATAACTGCTGCAGCATATGGGCGCCTAGCAAACCTCAGAACAGCATTCCAACATCTTAATAAGGAATCGTTCAGGGCCCTGTACACTGTGTACATTAGGCCCTTATTGGAGTATGCGGCACCAGTTTGGAACCCACACCTAGCCAAGCAACAAGACTAGTCCCAGAGCTAAGGGGTATGTCCTACGAGGAGAGGTTAAGGGAAATCAACCTGATGACACTGGAGGACAGGAGAGATAGGGAGGACATGATAATGGCATATAAAATACAGAGGAATCGACAAGATGGACAGAGACAGAATGTTCCAGAGATGGGACACAGCAACAAGGGGACACAGTTGGAAGTTGAAGACACAGATGAATCACAGGGATGTTAGGAAGTATTTCTTCAGTCACAGAGTTGTCAGAAAGTGGAATAGTTTGGGAAGCGATGTAGTGGAGGCAGGATCCATTTTAAGCAGAGGTATGATAAAGCTTATGGCACAGGGAGAGTGACCCGGTAGCGGCCAATGAAGAGGCGAGGCCAGGATCTATGACTCGACCCCTGCAACAACACCTAGGTGAGTACAACTAGGTGAGAACATGCATGTACACATGCATGTATGTACACATGCATGTACGTACACCTAGTAGTGATCAGTGAAGAGGCGGGGCCAGGAGCTGAGTCTCGACCCCTGGAACCACAATTAGGTGAGTACATGTATGTACACATGCATGTACTTACACATTCATGAACATACACATGCATGTACGTACACATTCATGAACATACACATGCATGTATGTACACATTCATGAATATACACATGCATGTATGTACAAATTCATGAACATACACATGCATGTATGTACACATTTATAAACATACACATGGATGTACGTACACATTCATGAACATACACATGCATGTATGTACACATTCATGAACATACACATGGATGTATGCACACATTCATGAACATACACATGCATGTATGTGCACATTCATGAACATACACATGGATGTATGTACACATTCATGAACATACACATGCATGTACGTACACATTCATGAACATACACATGGATGCACATACATATTCATGTACATATGCATGTACTACACATGCACGTATGTACACATGCATGTACTACACATGCATGTATGTACACATTCATGTACATACACATGCATGTGACCTGGTGGCTAAAGCTCCCGCTTCACACACGGAGGGCCCGGGTTCGATTCCCGGCGGGTGGAAACATTTCGACACGTTTCCTTACACCTGTTGTCCTGTTCACCTAGCAGCAAATAGGTACCTGGGTGTTAGTCGACTGGTGTGGGTCGCATCCTGGGGGACAAGATTAAGGACCCCAATGGAAATAAGTTAGACAGTCCTCGATGACGCACTGACTTTCTTGGGTTATCCTGGGTGGCTAACCCTCCGGGGTTAAAAATCCGAACGAAATCTTATCTTATCTTAAAAAAACCTTATCTTATAGACATGCATGTACGTACACATGCATGTACGTACACATGAATGTACGTACACATGAATGTACGTGAGGATGTGTATGAAAGAACTCATATCTTATTACTACAATGGTGGCTGCGCTAAACCAGTAGGGGATCACACAGCACATTAGCCCCAACACGAAGCAATCAGGTTTGATCCAAGGAACGGGAAGAACAGCTCCATAACCTTGAAACAAAAGCAGTTTAAGGGTGAAAAAATCTTAGATACAAATGGTTATGGTAAGTAACAAGTGTTATTTACGGCACATTTACAAGAGTAAAGCAATAAATAACAAGATTGGTGATTGACGAATCACCTTAGTAATGTAGGTGGCGGTGGTAATGACTCCAGAGCTTCTTGTAGCGGCGGTGGTAGTGACTCCAGAGCTTCTTGTAACCTCCAGAAGTGAAGGATAATTGAAGATATTATCAGTGTTAAGTTTGTGGTGTTGTGTTGGGGGTTGTAAGGGCGAGTGACGACTCTAGTGGACCACTTTAGTGGGACCCACTCTAGTGGACAAACTTACCAGTGACACACTAGTGACCACTACGAAGTGACGGGACTCCTAGTGGACCACTACCAGTGGAACCACTCAGGCTGCAGAACAACTACCAGTGACTCTTGTGGACCTCTACAGTTGACAACTCTAGTGGACAACTCAGTGACCACTCTAGTGGACTCTACCAGTGACCACTTAGTGGTACAACTACCAGGACCACTCTAGTGGACAACTTCCAGTCAACACTCTAGTGGACCACTAACAGTGGTCCAATCTAGTGGACTACTACAGTGACACTCTAGTGGACACTACAGTGACAACTCTTGTGGACCACTTTAGTGGGTCCCACTTAGTAGACAACTCGTGACCTCACTCTAGTGGATAACTACCAACTGACCGCTCTAGTGGACTGCTACCAGAGACCACTTAGTGGAACTCTAATCAAGTGTCCACTCTAGTGGACCCACTACCAGTTTGACCACTCTTAGGGACAACTACCAGTGACAAAACTCTAGTGGACAACTACCAGTGGACCACTCTTGTGGACAAATACCAGTGACCACATCTAGTGGTCCACTACCAGTGACCACTCAGTTGGGACCATTACCAGTAGACCACTCTAGTAGACAACTACCAGTGACAACACTTTAGTGGACCACTTTATGGGGTCCACTCTAGTGGTCCCATTAACAGAGACCACTTTAGTGGATAACTACCACTGACCTCCTCTAGTTGACTGCCTACTGAGGACACTCAAGTGGGAACTCTCTAGTGGACCACTTCAGTGGGACCACTTCAGTGACCACTCTATGGACCATTACCAGTGACCAATCTAGTGGACAACCACTACTCGATGGCCTGGTGGCTAAAGATCCCGCTTCAACACGGAGGGCTCGGGTTCGATCCCGGCGGGTTGGGGGGAAACATTACGACACGTTTCCTTAACCTGTTGTCTGTTCACCTTGCAGCAAATAGGTACCTGGGTGTTAGTCGACTGTGTGTGGTTCGCATCCTGGGGGGACAGATTAAGGACCCAATGGAAATAAGTTTAGATAGTCCTCGATGACGCCTGAATTTCCTTTGGGTTATCCTGGGGTGGCTAACACTCCGGGCTTAAAGTGTTCTCGAAAGAATATCGTATCTTACCACTCTAGTGGACCACGTTAGGTGGCCCAATCTAAGTGGTACCACTTTAGTGGCCAAATCTAGTGGACTCCGTTAGTGGCTCATTCTAGTGGAACCAATACTTGAACCCACTCTAGTGACCACTTTTATGGATCCGCTCTATAGGACACTTTGTGGTGCTATTCTAGTTATGGAAAAATTTTCTAGGGTTGCTTATCTGTATGACCTCAACATTATATAACCATACAAGTATCTCATTGGGAGACAAAACCATTTTGTTTTACCGTTGTCACCCCGTGTAGGAAGTTGTAAGAAAACTTTACCACCTTCTGGTCCATAAGGTGGCCCCTTCGACCTACATCTTATCCATATCTATTCCGAGACAAGTATAAATTGGGTAGCACCACAAGCACGGCGCTACTATATTAATTGTGGACTGTATAGATTATATTAGTTTAGCTGAATGAAGGGGGGGGGTAGGATAAACATGGATACATCAATCAGGAAAAAAACATTTGTACTAATCCCACCACTTACCTGATGTTTCTATGGCTGTCACTTGATGTTGCTGATCACTCATAACCTTAAATCCAATTACAACACTAACCTAACTGGCAGCATGAGTCTGTTATAACTAGAAGGTTACTTAACTGTGGGGACGGATACTCCTTATTTTCTCCATTCCCCATCTCATTTCGATGTTCTGCCTACACACTGGTTCTCATTCCAGGCAGGACGAGGTATCCGTCGGTTGTCCCGGTTTAGAAGTCGTGACTTAAGAAATCGAAATGCACGATTGCGATAATCCATACCCCCGGCGGGATTGAACCAGCGGGATAGAGTCTCAAAACTAGGTGGCTAGCAGTAGCTCGGGCTGGAGTTTTGAGAATCTATGACCGTGGGTTCAATCCCGGCCGGTGGGTTTGGTTTAGAAGTCGTGATTCCAATATAATCTTCATTTCCCGGTTCGAGTGTCACACGTTCACTCGGAGCAGGGGAGCTCTATTTCAATCCCGAATTCTCTTAAACTCAATGTTATTATCCACTGATTCACTTACCATTCACAAGGACGATTTAACCTCTCTTAAGTATTATTTACCCATTAGAGATCACTTCAATAAAGATATGACGACGATGAGTGATGATTAAACCAAGGGTCAATTTTCCCCAGGACCAGTCAATAGTGAGACGCCACACCAGTCACTCCGGTCCTACCCTTATTCTCTCATTTTACCACTTATTACGGTGGTCCCGTTATATACGTTCCTCACTCTCCACCAGGAACAGTTTACGACACTTTCATATTTTGAAATGAGGCCTATATTAATCCTTAGGGCCGCAGTGAATGCCTCAATTTCGTGGTTCATGCATTCCCAGCTCCTCACCACATTCAAAACACTCCAGCCTCCCCATGGCCCGAGTCGGCCCCATAAAAACCCCCCGCACATCCGCGAGCTATGAGCAAAGGGAACTCTTGGTTCTACTCTATTTCAAATACATTTGTTTGAACATATCAGACACCATTAAAAGACTATTAGGCAATATAGTTTAGGAGTAAATATCAAAAATTTTCACACTGCGGCCGAGGGAGGTCGTTGATAGATCGACCTTACTACATGTAGAGTACAATTTTCCCATTTCCACTGGCACATGGATTGGGATACTCCAATCATTGATTTTACATAATCACCCATTAATTCTTTCAACCTCGTTTTTAAATCCTCAGTGTAGGGCATCCATCCAAAGAACACTAAAGCCTCCATGCTTCTGGTATTAACAATTTCCATCTCTTAATGTAAGGTAGACACTTAAGTCTTCATGCTTCGGGGGCTAATTTGTTGGGCCATAACTGAATTATGAGAACTTTACAATAACAAGTCTCTCTCAGTATCCAAGTCAGCCACAGCACATTACTGCTTCATTGGCACCAACTCCATGGCCAATCCATATTTATTGTACCTCAAAAATAGGACTAAGTAGTGTTCAATTCTCTCAGGGGCATTAGCACTATGCATTCCCTGGATTAATTTATTGGGCATACTGGAAGTTGAGACTTTAACATTAACAAGTCTCTCTCAGTATCCCAAGTCAGTCCCAGCTCCTTGTCTGCTTTATTTCATTTACCCCCTTCACATATCCTCTTAGTTCCTCTCTTCAGTTGTCGTCAACGGGAAATTGTCAACTTAAGTTTATTTACCCAATTACTTCGATCAGTGGACCACCTGTGCACTTATGGTGTTGCATTTTTCGTCGCCTGAAGTAAGAACATATTTATTATTTACCTGTTTATTATTTATTTATTTTAAGCTAGTATACAATTTTGGTGTCTTGCGCAGTTCGCAGAGCTGGGCCCTTTAACTGTCCATTACGCCATTCTATAATTAGTATGGGTATTCTGACGTTCATGCTTCCACGGAAGTCGCCACCCAGTAATGTCCAGATTCACATTGAACATCCTTCAGGTATTGTTCCTGAAGTAAAAAAGGAATCATTTGGACTTTCCTCATTTATATTAATACCTTATGCTGTCCCAGCTCCCACAATTTGACTGGTTCAAACATCTTTATCGATCAGAAGAATACTTGTACTGGGTTGACCTTTTATGCTGTAAGGACACCGTGACTTGTATTTCACTACTTTCCTCTAGTCATTATTACTAGCGGTAGTATGCCATATTTACATGGCCGTAAAAGGTTGAGGAGAGTGACGCCGCCATGGTTTTGGATGTGATGCCCTCTTTATCCTGAATTATTACATCCCAACACCGGCAAGGATAACTAAGCTAGGCCTTATATTATTGCATTAGCTTCAACCTTACATTCCGTTACTGTCAGTGTCAGGGTTATGAACATTATCATTATTGTCACCATTATTATATAGAATCTCATTCAACCCTGCCATTAACTGTATGGTGCTTTCCCTCTGTTGCATTGATAGAAAAATGTTCAATTTGGTATGAAAATCCTTTACATTATGATTGTCTAGACAATCGATAAATCTGTCAAGTCTTTCATCCTTTTCACTTTAATATCCCATGTATTACAGGCATTACAATTTTTAGTGTTGAGATGAGTACCCTGGCAGAAGAGGCAGTCTCTCTTTTCCTTGCCTGGACCTCTTTATTAGCTGGGTTAACTTACTGAGGTACTTATTCCTCTTACTTGATTGTGAGGAACCACTATTACTGATTCCTGACTATGTTATGTGCCTATTTAACTCTTAACTATGATTTTTACCACTGGGTTATTTTTCACCTTTTGGACTTGACAGGATAATTCAGTAGTCATTATGTGTTATATCCTATAGAACTGTTGGCTGACTGGTCTGCAAAATGAACAATTAATTCCTGGGACTAGTCTGATTTCCTCCAGACGTGATATGGAGGTTTTGGCAAACACACCCTTTGCATATATAGGTTTGATCAGTGCTGGCTTTCACCCTTTTAATTTATCAACTGCCTTACTTTTACTAGAAAGTTTTTCTTCCAATTCGTTATAGTTGTTAATTAACAACATTCATTTCCATTCCATTGCACCAATTCGCCAGCAGATCGTTTCACAGTCTTTACCACAATTTGTACCATAAATCTAATTCTCTAAAAGGCATCTAAAAATATAACCTTTATATTCATAGGGTTCACGGTTCTGATTCATTAAATCATAAACTCGTCACTTGGCTTTTAATAAGCCTGTTTTGATGCTTTCATTACTCTATAATAAATTTCACGGAACTTTGTGCAGCCACATTAAACTCCTTCAGATCCAGTCTTTGATTAGAGAATTATTTAATCACCAATTATACAACTTAAGTAGGCGCATTATAGTGTTAA